TGTGTGTGTCCTATCACTGCTACCAGGCAGTGATAGCTAAATCACTGGCCCTGGAGCACAAACATGGCAGAGAATTGCCAGCTCTCGATTTTCTGTGTCTTATAAATCTCTTGCTGACGCGACTTTTTTCTTCTTTCATTTCCTATTTTTGTGGAACATGTAAAATTAGCTTCCATGTGCAGGGGCGCCACTGATGGGGCAGAGCTAAGAAAGGAGACAGTGGAAGGAGAGAGGGAAAGATGGTTGGGAAGATGGAGACAAGATGAGAGAAAGAAAACAGAAGGAAGAAGTAATGAAAGAAACAGTAAGTTTGAAGAGAAGAAACAAGGAAGAAGAATAGAAGTCAGAGAAGTAAAGGCGATAAAAAGGAAACAGCAAAAGGGAAGACAAGAGTGGAAGGAAGAGGAAACAAAAGAGATAAAGACAGTCTAAAGGAAGGAAGGACAAAAGGGAGAGAGAAGGATTAAAAGCAGAAAAGGACACTAAAAGAGAATCACAGAGAAGGAAGAGCAAAGAATAAAGTCCATGAAAGATGCAAGATGGAATTGAAAAGAGACGAGGGGAAGGGAAAAAATCAAGTAGGGAAAAAAAGCCAAAAGTAGGGAGATAAAAATCAGAAGGATAAACTAGGAGAATAAAGGAAAAATGAGGACAGACAAAAGAATAAGACTCAACAGGAAATGAAGGGAAAGAGAAAAAAGAAAAGAAAGAAAAGAGCAACTGGAATAAAGCGGGAAAAGAATAAAACAGGAATCAAGAATTATATATAATAAAGTAAACAGGAGAAGAATAATGCAAGAGCAGAAAACAAGAGCTTTTCTTGTTTTCTTCTGCTGCAGAATATTAAAGGAAGCATAGAGAAGAGGAGGAGGAAGAGGTTTGTTTTGTAAAGTCGCCAAGGAAACAGACTACAAAGAGAATGAAGGGTTTAGGGCAGAGAGGTGACAGGTCTGCGGGGTACTGTCACCTCTCTGTTTCCTCAGGCACTGCTGTTAGATGCAACTGCTAGGAATCATACACACAATCTCAAAGGCCTAATGAAGGTCTTAGACAAAGCATGTGTCAATCAGTGAAATATGATAAGAGACTGAGCAAAGCTCTTATCTTTAAATGCTGAGGAGGTCTGCACAGCAACTACTGATGTTCTGCGAGAAGGCAATAAAAACAGCAATACAGGAGAGGATGCATACACATATACAAGCTCATTTTGGACATTTTTGAAGCCTTATTGTTAACGATGTTGGGTTCACGTTTTCAGGCCTGCAGTTTGGTGGATACTAATAGTAATAAAACATTTATCCTCCCAGTCACTGTCTCAGTTATGCATTTTCATGAAGCCTTAACACAGGTTTGCTGTGTCACTGCAGAGTATAAAGACAACTTGGCACGTTGTACCACTGAAATGTTCACAAGGTGTCCTTTTATAGAGTAAAACATCTCTGTCATCTAGTAATCAGAATGTTCTGTATGAATATTAGATGGAAAACACAGGTGCTTATATGCATGTGGGTGAAGGAGGCATGCTGTACGGCGTGCTTGAATAGAAAAGTGCAATGTTAGAAACAGTTCATCATAAAGTATGTTAGAGTTAAATTGATAAGGAAAAGTGATTATTGTTAATTAACTTCTCAAACACTCACAGCCTGGTCAGTCTTTCTATGAAGCTGCTCTGTCAGCTGTATACTGTTCTGACTCAAATATGGATTCATCCACACCCTAACAAATGCTAAAATCACCTAATTAAACATTAAAAGCTCCCCAGTTGATTAGACAAAAACATTCAATAAAAGTTTGACCATGTTAGATTTAAAATAAAGAAAAATGACGGTGTAAATTTGAGTTTATATGCTCAGTAAGAGTTTATTCTCCAAGATGAGTAACAGGCCAGCGTCAGCTTTCTGCTTAAACTGAATCTGCTGTGATATAAATTAACAATTCACAGCATATTTTCCTTTTTTCATGTGTGGTCTCAGACAGTTCTTAAGCTGAAATCACTACAGAAGACGCAGAATTAGTTACCTGTATGTGATGATTTTTAGCGACATTGTTTCTTGTGTTGTTTTAATGGCGCTCTCATTTGGTGCTATGAACCTTTGAATTTACAGCTTAAGCACTGAGAATATAACAAATCTGCAACCTTTGTAAGTTATCAATGCTTCCTTGGTCAAAAGGTTTAATGTAGAAGGGTAATTTTTACAGTTAACTCTGATGGGCCTCGTCTTCGGCCTCCAGGCTGTTCAACACTTTAAACGTTTCCCTTAAACAACCGGCTTATTTGAAGTGTAATTGTTCAGGTGAGGGAACTGATAGAAACCATTGTGGAGTTCAGATGTGTGAGTCAAAATGTAGACGTCAAAAAATTTAAATTTCTTCATGTGTGACATCAGATCTAACATATAATGTAATATAGAAGCTGGCTCATATAAAATCAGTGCCTTGAATTTTGAACATCAAATACTGGGAATGGACTGAAGCAAATCATTTTTATGTAAAGACGACATTTAAACCAACGCATCTGACCTGACAAATGAGCAAGGTTAATTTCTTGTTAGCTTAAACAGTCATTTGGCTACTATATAGTTCAGTAACACATTACTTAAGCAACGTCCACACTGGCAAGGAGACCTGTGAGCTACTACCGGTGAAACAGTGCAAAGTGGATGGGCCCCAAGAAAAACTTGGCTGAACTTTGAGGTAAATGCCTGAAATGAGAGTGGAGGATATCAGTGACTGACATGTGGCTTAGAGGTAAATACATTAGGTAACTCAGGTAACAGGAACCTAAAATTTCTGGTATTATCAGCTGTCATCTTTAAGATGATGTGTGACGAGCCTTTTTTTTAATCTTACTCAGTTATATCTTAGCTCCTCATCTGTGCTTTCCATTAACAGAACAGTCTGATAAATATTTGAATCCTAGATCAACTGTTTGATTTCCCAAAAAAGGCGAATGCAATATTGCTCAAACCCTCTGTTCTTAGCTAACTTGCTCACATCAGCCACCGGTGGCAGCTAGTTTTCTTTGGCGTTAAAGAGAATTTAAACCTGTAAAGCTAAGTAAGCGGTAAACGTTAAAGTACTTGTTCAGAAATAAGTAACAAGCAGTTGTTTCCAGGGTGGACTTGGTAAAATGATAAAAGAAAAAAAAAGTCACACAAAGCATTTATTCACTCATCAAAAAACTGTTTAAATTTAACCATTTAAACGTGATTTGTTTCATGTGTGCAGACCTAACATGTATGTTGTACGCCTTTACAGAAGCACACATTACCCTAGTAACCAATCCAAGTATAATTTACATGTAATTCACAATAACAGCTCATTCAATGTGTTTAATATTTTAAGGTAAAGACCCTACAATATTATTAAGAAACCCCAATAATCACATGATGAGCAATCACAAGAAAATTAAGATTTGAAAAATGTGCCAATTGTTGTGATTTAATCCAAACAATCCTCTTGTTTAAGCCTTTTTATTGCCTAAATGTAACAGTGTAGCTTTTTCTATTCTAGTCCTAACCAAGAAGTTGTCCAGAAGCACCGATGAATAGATACAATTCTGTTACAGTTTCATAAATTGTTGTGAGACTATGTTCTTACTTTGGAGTGGTAAAAGAGCCCTAATGGCAAATACTCTCGTCCTGAACGCCTCCACAACCAAAGGTCTGCTGCTCTACTATTGTGATTCTACAGAAAGCCATCGA